TGTAGTTATTATTTTTTAATCAATTATTTATATAAATATGTATATGTTTGCTTCCGGAATGGGAGCTCCAGCATATGGCTTCTACATTTCACTATTGCATTTATTTACACTTACATATGTATGTAGATATATAAAGGTGTATATTACAAATGTATTACTAATTGGTATTTACAATATGTTCTAGAATTTCACAACAACAATAGGCTATAAAATGTAGGCCAAATATCTCAAATTTTATGTTCGCTTGTTTAAAGCCATTACAAAATATCAATGAATAAAGAAAAACAATGTAAGACACATAATAAATTAAGTACACAAACAAATTGCGTGCGTTTTATATATTTTTTTAACTCATTATGATTTTTTTATTACTATTATAGTTATTAATATTATTTTGATTATTATTGTTTTTTTTTTTATTATTACTAATATACGCCAATTAAGAAGAAGAATAATATTAGAATTATTTTTTTATCATTATATTTTTTTATTTTATACCGATACAAAATATTTTTAATAACTTTTATTTTTTAAAAATAAGTATACAAATTTCGGACTCGGTATTTCACTTCTATTTAATAAATTAGGTTACTCCTCCAAGCTTCAAAGTTTACTCAGAATTTTTTAGACCATCAGAAACAAGCTTCCACGTGCCTTTTTGACGAAAATTAAAATAAAGTCCAACATTTTTTTTTTTTCATTTAAATTTTGTTTGACAAAAAATTTATTTTTTTACACTATAACAATAATAATTGTACTGACATAAAGGCTCTTTAAATGATTAAACAGAAGACTATATTTGGCATTTTTGTCCTAAACGAAAAAAGTCGAATAAAAAAAATTGTAATTCACAGTTTTTTATTTAACATCATGTCTTGAACTAAGGGCATACTGATGTTAGATCGGCCAAGGTTATTTATTTGAAAAGTATATTTTATTATTTTTTTATAGATTTAGAAAAACATATATATATATAGGCTGTCTCTTATACACATCTAGATGTGTATAAGAGACAGGAAAAGAGTCGTTTGCGATTGATTTGTATAAATATTTATGTACATACATACATATATTTATTTTTTTTATAAAAACAATATATAATTGAAAATAGTTCATTTAAAATCAGTAACTCTAAGCAAGACTTACTTAATTTGTTCTCAATTATAATAAATTAGTTATAAAGCATTACAACATATGTATTTATATACAAACATTCACTCCCATTTGTATATACATAATTATATTTATTGCAGGCTTGTCAATAGATTTAATGCAGGTAATACATATAAATAGTGAATTCTCCCAAAGGCGACACTGGCAAGAGGTGCCTTTATGTAGGGTAAATAGAGAAGCTCACTTAATATATATCAAAAATTTTGGCACCGGTGAATTTGCACGATTAATGGAGTTGTCTGCTAAATAGAGCTTTCAATGTATATACTATATATTTGATTTTAATTGTAAATAATAAGTATTATAGAAAAGGTTTACGGCGAGTTATTTTAAATGCATGGTGTACTGTGCGCATTGTTAAATTTATTGTAAAAATGTTTAGTTGTAATATTATTTAGCTGCGTGTACAATTGAGCTTTTATATTTTTTACTTTTAACTTTACAAATATGCACTTTCAGTCATTTTTTTTTTCTTTTTTTAGTTTTACTCATTTACTCAGAAATGTATATAATTTCATAATATTTAGTATATACATACATAATTAATTATTATGCACATATTTCACAATTATATCCACTCGTAAGTATATATTTAACGAAATGCCGATTAACACAAAATATTTTAATTGCATTTATAAAAACTCAGTTTATTGCATTCTTTTTCAATACCACAGAGAGAGCGTCAGTGCTTCAACACTTGATAAATATCATTTATCACTATAAAATATAATATTTCACTAACATATGTATACACACATACATATATGTAAAATAAAATCCCAACTATGTTTGTAGATATATATAATTCAACGGAATAAAAGGGCGAGCAACTGCTGACAGTTATTCTCTGTCTTGTATTATCTACCTTTTGCCTGCAAAAATAAATTAACTAAATTTACACACATACATACAAACACACGTATGAACGAGTACAAGTACATATATATTTAATATCAGTTGTCAAATATATTATATGGACGTGTGTGCACAGATAAATACGTATCTTTGTACTTTTGAACATGTGTACCAACGCAACACACAAGCGAACACTGTAGGCGAGGAGGAGAGCAAACGTTTATTGCAAGTTGAAATGAAAGCGTTAAAAATTTGCATTTGCGATGTGTAGTAATTTTTTTGGTTAGTAACACAGGTTATAATTTTGCGGCAATCAAGTACGGATTTTTGACACAAATTCATTAATTTCTATCATTCAGCACTAATTTTCCACAAAATATATGCGAAACCATTCAATGAAACAAAACTCAAAATAAATATGAATGAATTTCTCGAATAAAAAAACACAATTTCCCGGCACACAAACACACCATCGTTACGTAGTCGCACACACCTGCATATTAGCAAAGGCACAGTTCATGCCATTGGAATAACGGGGGATTTTTAACAACTCAATTCTTCCATTGCATTTCTCCAATTGGATTTTTCCCTTTGCCGTTTTTAACATCAAGTTTACATTGTGCATTCATAAATTTTTAAATATTAAATTGTTTTTAATGCGTAGCGTGTGGCTAAAGTGTGTCTTCACACGGCAAAGTACGTTGAAAAATCAATGAATGGCAACAACAACAATAATGTGCTAACATAAGTGGCAGTCACTGCAGCAGAGGCGGCGACTGCGCAAGCAAAAGCAGTAGAAACGTCGGTAGTTGAGCACATTAAGAATAGAAAAATCATCAAAAGCAAGCAAGTCCAAACATGACTTGAGATTTCCTATAATCTCCACGATAAATTTTGTATTTGGCTGTTAACTTGGCCAATAAAAATAAAATATTTACTTTTAACAAATAAGTTATCCATATGTTTAAATCTTGTTTAATATATTGTTTTGTAATTTTCTAAATTTCAATAAACGTGTTCACTATCTTCTCGCTGGAAGTTATAAATCCTACCCCCCGCATTATATACAAATATAGTAAAAACACCCGTACATTAGCGGCAGCGACGCAACGCTGTACGTCAAGGTACGACGTCGACGATGGCGACAGTGGTTGCTACTGCTACTGCTTTTCCTGTTGTTGCCGTGGTGTAACACACACGAATTGGAGAGCTCAGTTTTTTAACCAACTAAAAATTCTTATTTTGTTCATATTGTGTTTTTCCTCTTGCAGACCAACACCATGCATTCGAAATAACTTTAATCTAATATTTGTGGAAGTATATATGTATATACGTTAAATTTTAAATTTACTAATTTGGATTTGTGCTGAATTACATTTTATTTGTTGTATGCTTTGCCCGCAACCGTTGTTTTTATAGTACTTTTTGTTCTTTATACACTTATTTTTTTATTTAATTCTGTTCTCTAACCACTTTTTTGCTTTTTCTTAATAACCAGTAACACCGCGTCGACTAAACGTTTTTTCACGACGGCGTCAACATAACTAATACGACCAATTCCGTTCAACATTCGGTATGAACGTTATCCACTTAACTGGGCGTTCCACATTCCATATAAGTCCAATAAGCATGAAGTTGGCTTTGCTTGCAGTAAGACTAATAACACTCCAATTGGAAAATGCCTCAAAATCTTTTGTTTTTCACTGTTTTTCTTTCGCGCTGACGTTCGCTTTTGTTGTCTTCCCTGATTTGCAGCTGTAAACAAAGGGTATTCAACGAATGTGTAAAGAAATTTTATATGATTCATTTATTTACGAACAAATAAACTTTTTTTATATAATCTTTAAGAATTTCTTGTTTAAATTTTGATGACAATTAGTGTTTTTCCACTTATAAAACAATACAATACAATACAATTTGGCTGGTATATTTGAAATGATTGTTATGATTTTGAATCATAAAACAAAGGAAAGCAGCTGACTTTGACATTATGAGTTAGTTATATTTAATTATTATTTTAATATTTTATAAATTATTTGCATCTGTATTTATGCTAAAAAGAACGTTAAAAGTTATTGCTATTGAACAATTTTCACGGTACATAAATAGTATTGGTCCATAATATTTGATACTAACAATTACAGTTACTTGTAAACTTCAGCACTATTCGCTGTTTCAACTGCAATTATACAGCAATATTTAAACAAATATGGATTTTTGTACATAATAGTATAAATAGTTTAAAAAGTGGAATTAGATATTGGATGTAGTAATTTATGGTTGGACGCTTCTAAACACTGAGTTATCTTGCACTTTCTATTTCTAACATTTGATTTCAACGCTGGCAATACCGCTAAAGTGAGTAATTTTCAGATGGAGAAAATCATAAAAATATTTTAGTCGAAAATGTTAATTTAATCATATAAATTACTAAAATATTTTTTTAAAATCCATAGCAAGTTTTAAATAAGGTATTCAGTTGTTGGAATATTTCAAATACCTACATTTGATAAATTTAGCAATCAGAATTTGCAGAGGGCAAAAAATTAATATTGATTTTCTACGGCTCGTAGAAATTCGGTGATTTATCTAACCTTGTCCGAAGTGAAAATACGTATTAAACATAGATGTTTTAATTTAGAAATCATTCCTCTTGTTTATGTGGAAAATAATTTATAAATACCTATCGCCTAACTAAGGTTTGGGTAAAATGAATACGTTTTGTTTAGTCTTATATGGAGAAAATAATTTGCATTTCAAATGACATCATCAAACCAGTAACTTATTGGCATTCTCTACAACCACTTATTTCCATAAATTTATATACTCGTTGCTAACGAAATTCTGTCTAAAATTATTTAGTTAAAACCGAAAAAACATACACAACATTGGAGTTAAACTCAAACAACAAAAGCAACCACTTGCAGCATGGATCGCAAAGCTGAATTGGAACGTAAAAAGGCCAAATTGGCCGCCCTACGCGAAGAGAAGGATCGTCGTAGGCGTGAAAAAGAGATGAAGGATATGGAGGAAGCGGCTGGCCGCATAGGCGGTGGAGTCGGAATTGACAAGGATCAGCGAAAGTAAGTATAGCGCTTACAATACTTTTTTTTGTTATAAAAATGCACTTTTCTAATTAATTTGTTTAGAGATTTGGATGAAATGCTGTCCTCACTGGGAGTTGCGCCCGTATCGGAGGTCTTGTCATCGTTGTCATCCGTGAACTCTCTAACATCGGACAACTCTAACACTCAAACGCCGGACGCAAGTCTACAAGCAAATATGAATGGTGTTGGGTTAGTAATTTTACATAATAAGTAATTGACAATATTATCTATAATACAATAATTTTTGCTATGCAGCGGTGTCAAAAAGCAACCTTTGAATTTGAGTATTTACAACGTGCAGGCTACTAACATTCCAGCAAAAGAAACACTGGTCTACTCAAAGCAAACCCAAACCACTAGCACAGGTGGACACGAACGTGATGGTGGGTACTACAAATATCTAATTGCTATTGTTTCTTTTTGTTGTTTAATGTTACTAATTACTTAAACTTTTAGTATAAAGTATGCAAATTAAAAAAAAAAATTGTATTCCTAACCACCTTACATTATGAAAGCTTAAAATCTTTTGTGTTTATTCTTGACTGCTCAAATATGTTGAATGCCTTAAGTGCTCTGTTGAACTGGTATAACACATATTTTGGTAGAAGCGAAGATATAAGAATTTTCATAATTTTTCGAATTTCATATAATATTTAAAAAGTTTTTATTTTGCCTTAGCAACCCCTAAAATATTGCCCTAATCTTAAATTTTTCCCATCTATATATATAATACCTTGTTTTTCATCAATCACATCGTATTTTGCTAACGATGTTCGAACTACATGCGCTATCAAAAATATATATTTAAACTATCTTACATTATTTACACAAATTTATTACATATGTATATACATATGCATATATATACTCGTTGTATATGTTTATGCGTGAGTGTTTTGCATACTCAAGTAATAAAATATATTTTCTACGCATGTAATTTGTTATGAAACTTATTATTAAGCACAAGTAGAGAGCACAATGTGCGCTTCAATTATCACGCATTTCAGTGCTATATACTCAATATATACATATATACACATGCATTTTCATTCGGCTATCTAACCCGTAAACATTGAGTTACCCCTACAAATTACTTGTATGCAGAACTTGAATAGAAAATCATAATGAAATAAAATAACAAATACAGTTCTTTCTTGCCACTCCTCACCTCTATCAGGATACATGGAGGATTGGTGGAGACCACGCAAAGGTACTGGTATTTATTATTTCGGCAAACTTCAAATTGAAAAGAAAAAAAATCAAATTATTTTTATAAAAACAAAATACATTTTCCAAATTGCTTTGTAACTTTATTTGTCACACGCATTTGGCTATCCACTACAAATTATGTGCACTTGCCCAGCCATTTAGCACTTTTTTGTATTTACAAGTTTTTACTTTAACCTTCTTGTTTAGTTGTTATGTCAATATTCTTTGCCATTCTACAACATGATTTCTACTGCTTTATATTCTTTATATATATTTTATATTTTTTTTTCTTTAATTACATAAAATCTGTCGCATTTCAAAAACACTTATCTAATAATGTGACGTTTCTTATTTTTTATTCATTTCGATTCTAGCTCATGCTACGGATTATTACGGTGAGTTTTGTTAACTTGCCTTATACTAATTTAATTAACTTTTATAAAGAAATATTTATTGCATATATGATGTATATATATCTACAAGTGTGCACGAACTCTGAATGTGTCTCTGCGCGTGTATAGTCATGATTATTATTTTGTATTTTACTCCATTACATATATATCTATAATTATAAACTTTTATGCAGTTATATATACTTTCTTTCATATAAACGATTTTTAACCCTTTCAAGTGAATAATTAAGCCGTAGTTGTAGCTAAATACTTTTTGTTTCGTTTTTTTACTCTTTTTTGTGCAAAAATTGATAGTTCACGTGGGTCATCTTAACCCATTAAAACGTACGTATTTTTAAGTTTTCGCTGTATAATCGATTCACATTATACTTTATTTTCTCCACCCATTTTATGATTTCGATTTGATAAATCGACAAAATATTCGTTGTTTATAAGTTTAAAAAAAAAGTAGCTTAGTAAATATTGAATTGAATTTTTGTAAGAAACTTTTCAGTTTTAGTAAACGACAAAAGAATGCATTAAGTTTTAAAAGTAATTTTTACATATACATTAATACTATTGGTATAGAAATTGTAATATTATTTTGGGATACTATTGTGCGTCAAGCCTAGTTTTTAGTTCATTTATATTATTAGATGCTCCCCTCGAATAAATCCAGTCATACAAATATGTTCATTATAAACAAAATTGTTAACATTTGCTGGAAGGGCATTGATTACTCATTGTTTTTGTGTGCATTAAATCACAAGTGTACATAATGATAAATTAAAAAACAAGTCTCTTGCATGCTAATAACGTAAATATATTTATATAGCGTATGAGTTAAACAATTACAACGCTCTAAAACTGTAAAAGTGAGTTATAATTTTTTTTAGTTAGCGGGCGATCAACACGTTCTGTTTGCTTCAAACAATCTAATTCAGTGTTTTATGCCTTTATACATATATAGATAATATTTCAATAAATATTTTTCATAATTAAAATACTGTATCAGTTGTGTCTCCTAATAATTTGGGGATTTCATAATTTACTTAATTTGCATCCCGACATAATGATTTTTTTTACCTAAAAAACCAAAAAAATTTAAACTAAAAATCTAGCGAAAAATATAAAAAATTTACTTCAATCATCTTTATTCTGTATATTTTTCAAGACGAATACAATCTAAATCCGGGTTTAGAGTGGGAGGATGAATTCACAGGTAGGTAACATCTGCTCCAATATTTTATAACAGTAGCGGATCGACATGAAGCAAAATAGGAACGTGACAAATTCTCTACGAAAAAACTGAAATGCAAGTTAAAAAACTGAACTAAAAAACCTAATCAAGCAAATTTGAGCATAAAGCAAGCTCTGCATTCAAATGGCAAACATTAAATAAGTCCGTTTTTTAAATTAGTAATAAGTTTCGTTCTATATGATTTAAGTGTTGGCTTTAGGCAGCTGCTGTATGGCCAGTTGAAGCAAGATTATATAATTGAAAACGCAATTAACACATTTAACTGCTTCTGAGAAAAAAATTATGTGTAAATGTGCAAACTAAAATTCCTTTTACGTCTCGCTCCCACCCCGTTTTGTCCCAAACCACCAACTGCATCCTGTAAATGAATCATTAACGCCGAAAATACTCTTTGTCATTAATATGTATATTGTTCATGCAGTCACCATACACTCACATTTAAACATTAAACATTAACGAATATACTTAACAAAGTAATTAAAAATTTAATATACAATTCTAGAGAAGATAAGTAAACGAGGATTGCACCGCGACCTAAGATCTAGAGAAAAATACATACACCTATGTATGTAAATTATTTTGTTGTAAATTTTTTTTTTTAATATTTTTGAGAGCTTGAGGGATT